TTAAACATAACAATTAATATCTTAAATTTCTATCGAGATAATATAATGTGGCTGGACAGCATTATTCTATACATATAGAGGAACAGCTTTAAGCAAAGACAACGGACGATCGATTCGACTAGTTATGCATCGGAAAATTGAAAAAAAGATGAGAACGGTTTAATACCGTGTGCTCCGCTATCGCGTTATGCAAATTTTCGGGATGAACGCAAACAAATTAACGCGGGAATATCTGGGGATCAGCGCGGGCCCGTGTTCCTACGCGTCTATAAGCATTTGTTTAACCGCAAACGAGGAAAATGGGAACGAGCGAATCGTGGAAGAGGCAGTAGAGAGAAAAAAAGAGCGTAGTTTGTTCTCTTGCCAGTCTGTGGCTGAATTCAGAATTTTTCCGGAATGGTCTCTCACGAAGACAAACCCCTTTCGCGAAAATGTTCCAGGCCGTGCGGGGATTGGTTAAATTACGAATGGCCTTAGGCCGTTCCATGTCCCGAATCCCATTTTCATCGTCGGGCCATCGTTGCTCGTATTGAGGCACGCACACGGCAAACAGAGGGAACGGATAAAACGGTGGACGCATTCCGAATGAATTCTCGACGAAGACGCGTAAAAGCCTCGCTCCCGGCTCGCCTCTAATGAGGCTTAGTTAAGCGAAGAGAAAAGCGAGAATCGAATAATCCGTATTTATAGATGGAAAACACAATCATCAAAATTCAATTTCTATTCTATTAAAAATTTCCAAAAGTTTAATTTAACATATATTACCACAGTTTATAAAACTAAACTATGATTCTTTAAACAAATTAAAGCAGGAATTGTATATAGGAAATAAAATATTTTACATTATTAATTAATTATGTGTACATGCATGTTGTTTGATTTGCAACGTCGTACTCATCACAAAACGTGACATCTGTATAGTCTATTCGCTGTCTAGATTGTAAGAATTATTTGAATAAAGCTAACTAACTAATGCGAAGTCATCACGTAGTAGATTATAATAGTTACAAAGATACGAGTTTCCATATTTTTAAATACGAAGAATTTTTTATTCAGATGGACAATACATCCATATTTGCAGTCATTAGGAAGTATGAAATATGAACTTTCGACACCTAGTTTTTTTGCTTTAATCTGCAGAGTTCAAATATTCTCTGGCTCCGAGCACACGGGGTATGTACATAATTTTCTTATAGCTGCGAGCCTGCCTGAACGTATCGACGTGTATCGATCGACGGCGATAAGCTGTCAGTCATACGTCGATACACGCCGGATTGCCTGATTCAGGCGCAAAAATGCCCAATTTTAATTACACACTACAATTTGATTACGATCTGCACTTTTCTGCACTTTAATAGAACCATCTTAAATGATTGGCCAATGATCTTAACCAATTGTATTTTTAAACATATTTTCTTATTACGTCAACGGATTGTATCATTGATTCTACAAGATAAGACAATGCTTTAAATATAGGATTGATTTCTAGTTCTGCAATTTCTGTCTTTCTTTGTTTTCTCTTCATTAATCACTGGAAACCCAACAAGGTTTCACTTCGGATATAGCGAGGGACAGTAAATTACGTTTCAACCTGCCATTTATTACGAGTAGAAATGTAACGAAAAGTCCATAGATAAAATACAATTCTTGGGAAGATTAATTCACATCCGTAAGAAAGTTATTTCGTTCGTCGTGCCGATTCTTATGCTCTCTAACAGTCGAGCATAAGTTGAAATAACATCACAGTATATCGGTATTTCCAAAGTAATACGTGTTAAGATTGTATGTTTATTAACTAGGTAACAAAGGATAACGTTTACTCAATTTTTCTGCATGCCCCATCGTTGTTCTTATCTCGATAATCGATAGGTACTATCAACGAGAAGACCGTTAATAGTAGTGGCAACGGAAATGGTCCGGGAGCGATAACAGTTTCTGTTCTCGTTTTTCCCCGCAACAGAGACTAATGCAACCCTACATCACGCGGGTGGGTGGAGGGCCGTACAAGATTCGAGTGCCGCGTTGTTTCGATCAAACAAAGTCCGACGATTTAATTGCGCCACGCTACACGCCGCGGGACTCGCATTTTTTCCTCCTCCCGTTACACGGGTATCGACAGCGCGTTGATGTATACGCGAGTGGTTGACATAAACTAGGAAAACAACATTTCGCGAGAAACAATTTCGCGCCTCTCTCGATCCAGCGGAAAAATAATACAGGCCACGATTGTTTATTCGATCTCCACTCGCGAGTATCGGAGCGCTCGTGCCCGTTCGTCATAATTGTAATTGCGTGCCTCTATGTAACTGAATAATCAAGGCTTCGGTCATCGGTAAATGATAAACTGGCTCACAAAATCAATTAATTAATTGAACACGTGGATACAGGTTGTGTCAGCTCTAGGCGGCTACTTAAGTATGTCTTCTGTTTTCTAGATTACAAAAAAACTTCATAGCATGATTTAAGGATGTATTGGCTATACAATCAATCCCAAAAGTTTATGCACTTTAGAAACACATTTTTTAAAAAGAAATCAGACGT